CGCAGCATTGCACGTGTCTGGTGGGGTAACCGGACTAGCAATGCTGAGGTTAGGTGTAAAGTTTTAGGCATTCGCGGTCGTCTACTAGAGGAAGTGATCGACCTCCATATATTACGCTGGTTGGGACATGTGTTACGCATGTCACCAGAGAGGTTGCCACGGCGAGCGATGTTTGCCAAGGCTGGTAGCGATTGGAAAAAAACAAAGGGCGGTTAAGCTAAGACGTGGCATGAGGTTATGAAAACCCTAACCGGGAGACTAGGTCACATAGTCCCTGTTAGGCTCTGTCTGGGGACCTCGGGATGATGGTCACTGATAGTTAGTTACACTGAGTGATGTGGCTGGGTGTCGCAAAAAGTGGCGCTCGTGCATCCACTCGTTATTTTCCTAACACCACTCTATGTGTATTCCCCATCTTCCGCTTGAATTTGCTTCGACATTCCAATCTTCATTTCGCTCTTTTATCCAAAAGACAGCAACCAAAACCGGCGCACGAAAGTGCATGGTTAATGGTCGTAAAAACTGAAACTGAAGCCATTAAAAGGAGGAGGACAATCAATGAAAACTTGTGTCGGACATGAATTCATGCGTCTTTCTGCTGGATAAAGATAAATCCCCTTCTTGGATGTCTCTGATGGTAGCTATCCATACGTTGCGATCTGCAGCAAGGTCGATGTACCATGAAATCCATTTGTTACACTAATTACGCAGTCCGTAAACCAACAAAAAACCTAATGCATGCGCATCTTAGTCGACTATACTTATTCACGTCTTTAGCTTTCAGTCGAGGTGACCTTTGCAATTTTGGCAGGGTGTTAGCCTCAGGCTCTTCGTCCGAGGAAGGACAAGACGGCGTCGTTGGAGAAACATGGATGGCTTCTCTGTATTCCTACGAATCTGATGGAGGACAGAGTTTGAAATGCCGTCATACTAGGGGTGGTGTTTTGATGAGGTAGGTAGCTTTACTGTTGTCCGGTTCAATACCACGCCCAACCTAGTGGGCCCGTGTGTGGTTCACCACTCTAAGCTCCGAGGCTTAGGTTGCCGGTTACCATTACTAAACAGCAGATCTTCATGGCTATGGGGCTTTCTCGTCGGTTGTTCATCACGCCAACGTGTTTAGTTAAAAAATATCCTTCACTCTCAGTGACCACATATTACATTCATATATATGAAAGAACGGGTCAGATGGCGGCTGGATAAACTTTGAGGCTTATTAGTCTTTGTGGGAACAAAGGTTTTTGAAGCTGTTGGAACGCCTTCCTCGTGCAGTCGATGCGAAGCTTAACATCCTCTCTGGTTTTGTCGTTTGGTTCGATGGTAGATCCTAGGTACTTGTTCCGCTATACTAACTAAAACTTATTCTTTTGTCACGTTCAGTAACAAAGCGGTTAATCAGAACAGTTACGAAAATCTTGTCCACCATTGTCGTGAACTTATGTACTACTGTATTTCTTACAGAATCGTATTAAAATTGCTATTCTCCATATTTCACCTATTGTATTGCGATTGTTAGAAAACTTAAGCGTACTTTTAACCAGACTCTTATTTTCAGTTATTCCCCATGATTATCGAATATCATAGCCATGTCGATACCTCTGTAGTTCGTGTGCATGCTTTTTCCGTCCTAGTTTGGTGCGGGAAGTAGAATGAATGAATGTTGCCCACTCTTTGAGACAACAAAGATATCGTGATCTTCATCGTCGTCGTCGTACAGCGAAATACCGTGAAGCGAACTTGACCGATCGCTGCCAACCTCGTACTGCATACAAATTCAGTGGTACTATGTAAGGTGTGCGGGGATTGGATCTACTTTAAGGGAGGGGGAAGCTGGTGACCCTCCATGATCAACACACGGATTATTACACACGGTGTATAAATACCTTTTCAAACATTCTGGACTGATAAGAAATGACAACAAGAACGCCACTGCTTTTGGTTCGCTGCCGTATCTTTCAATGTCTCTAACCAACCAGTTGTGGAGTTTTTTGGACCCCAACCTGGAAGGCTCGGGACACCTAGTCCACCCAATCGCTCTGTGTATTTCTTCATGCCTCGTCTCCACGTCATCTTTTTTATATTACACACCTAGGTGTGATGAACAGCAGACGGGGTAAACCCCATAGTCACGAGGACCTGCTGTTCAGTGGTTGAAATCGGCAACCTAAGCCCCGGAACTTG